GAGGAGACGGGACAGTCCAGTGACCCTTTAAGACTTGACCAGTGCCTATTTGGCAGATTCCCAGCTATGGGACCCATCTCATCCCACAGGAACTGCCTCTTTGTTTTAATAAAGCTGTTAGTTTCATTTAAAAAAAGAAAAAGAAATTAAAGAAAGAAAGAAGAAAGGAGGGAGGAGGGGAGAGAGAGAGAGAGAGAGAAAGAAAGAAAGAAAGAGAAAGAAAGAAAGAAAGAAAGAAAGAAAGAAAGATGCTTCCCACCTTTCTTCTCTGCGCCCTCGAAAACGTGGATCATCAGAATCCCGAGGGAACCGTTCATCACCGGGTCTGCGGCCTTCCCATGCCCCTGGAGGGCCTCGGGCTGTACCCCGTCCGTCCCCCTCGCTGAATTCCCTGTGATCAGGTGGAAAGGGAGGTCCAGGGCCTCCTCGCCTCCACTTCTCTTCTTGTGGTAAGGGTCCTCCTCGTCCCTCAAATTCCCGTAAACGGTGGCCAAAGCGTTTGTCCGGGTGGAAGTCATCTGGTCTGCTGAAGTCATCGGGGAAATCAGGGTGAGGGCCACGCCTGTCAGGGGGACCCCTGCATTCCTGGCCACCCCGGAAAGGCCCCCTCTCGGGCCCATGCTCAGGGCCACCACTTTGCTCGTGCCGCCTCTCTGACATAGGGCCCAGGTGATGGTTGGGAGGGCCTCGAGAGTCACCTAGAGAAAACAAAGCTGACCGTTACCATGGCTTCTGGGAAGCCTGCCATGCAGGCCTCCTCCTAAGTACTTGAAGTGTCAGGATGTACTCTGCCCTAGAATGCCTTCCCTTCTGGGGTCTCAGCACACTTAGAAGATAGACATCCCAAGACACCATAAAATGGGAAAACCATGAGCTTTGGGATACAGCTTTCAGCCACTCACTAGCTAAGTAACTTGACCTAGGGACAATCACTAACCTCTAAGGAGTGTCCACTTTTTCACACATGTTGAAAACATGAGCTAATTTCTTGGCATGAGACCTGCCTTCCTTTCCGTGCCCTGCCTTGCCCCTGTTCCTGCCACTCCATTAGGACCACTGGCTCCACAATTAAGAGACACAACAGAGAAAAGCCATGCCGCAGGACAGGAGGCTTGTAGGCTGGGAGGCTATGCATCAAGAACTTACTTTTGCTCTTGTGAAAGCCACAAAGTCATTACAGACCAAGTCTACATGGCTGCCGCCATGATCTGCTCCTCTAACCCTGACCTGTTTAGCTTCTTTATTCCACACAGCCCATTAGGAATCTTGACACATTCCTCCATAGGCTCACAGGGACCAGATAACCCTGTGGCCTTCGATTTAGGGGTTTGTATTAGCACCACTTTTGCTATTCTTGGGAATGATGTGCCTTAAGTATGTTATTACATTTTTCGCATAAAGAAATTTCACCTAAGACTTTCAAAAAATTTTTTAATATATGTAATGCACTCAAAGACTAGGGATATGGCTCATTAATAGAGCACTTACCTAACATGTGCCAGGCCCTGGCTTTTATCCCTAGCACCACAGAAAAAGGGGGGGAAAGGGGGGAGGGGGCGGATTAGAAAGGAGAGGCAGCAGATGAGATGTATACTGCTTCCTTAGTCTACTTCTTAACTCTGAAGGGGCTATTTTGGCAGCTGACCAAATGACTGCAGCCAATGCAAATATACACCTATTTTTTGTCAGCATTTAAATCATGGTTCATGCCTGTAACCTCAGTGCACACTAGGGTAAGGCAAAGACCAGTCCTTATCTCAAAATTAACCCCCCAAATAAAAAATAGAAAGGTAGAAAGGGATACTCTTGCTTCTAAAACAGCTATATTTTGAAAATGAAATAAATCCCTTTGCTGGCCCAGCCCATGCCTTTTGCTGCTGTTTCCTGGCATCAAGACAAAGTCTCTATGCATACATCAGTAAGCCATACTCTTAACCTACCAACCTTCCTCCCTTTCATTTATCTTCACTAAAAAAAAAGATTTATTTTTATTTTATGTGTGTAGTGTTTTGCCTGCATGTATATAAGTGCACTGTGTGCGTACAATGCCTAAAGAGGCCAGAAGAAGGTATTGGATCCCCCTGCAACTGGAGTTAGAGTTGTTAGTCACCATTTGGGTGCTGGGAATTGAACCTGGGTCCTGTGCAAGAGCAGTCAATGCTCTTAACCACTGAGCCATCTCTCCAGTCCCTCTCTTCATCCCCCCCCCCGCCCCAGCTATTTCAATTCTTCTCACTACTCAGCATGGATTAAAGCTTAGAAATCTCAACCTAAAAATATGATATCAGACCCTGGCGTGGTGGCACATGGCTTTAATGTGGAGGCAAGTGGATCTCTGTGAGTTCAAGGCCAGCCTGGGCTACATAGTGAGTTCCAGGCCAGCTGGGAGACCCTGTCTCAAAAAGACCCCCCAAAAATATGACATCAGAAAGATTCTCCATTTGAGCTTGTTCTTTCCCATGCTGAGGACGTTTGCAAATATCCTAGATCCATTTTCCCCTTCTTAGTGTCCCTGTAGCTGAGCTGTTTCTCCAACTTTAGGTTGCCTGAACTTAGTATAACCTTAGACAACCTGACCACAGACCCAAAGGCTCTACACATGTTCTAATTGGACTTATCTATGAGCAGTGAGCATCTCACATCTCTTTCTGTTTAAAAGTAACCTGCTCTTTCTTCCAAGGAAAGAGAAGGGGGGGGAGGGGAAAAAGGAAGAGAAAAGGAGAAAAGAAGGGAGAGGGAACAGGTGAGGTACACAGAGGTATACAGGAGAGGCCACTTCCATTCACTAATGGGAGTACCTAGTAGATCACAAACTTCCTTCATAAGGGTCCCCAAGCCTCCACGATAACTCTCC